TCCCTGTTTCAAAAGTGGCTGATTTGGGGTAAAAAGCCTTGAAAAAAAATAAAAAATGGAGGGGGGGCTGAGCTCATGCGGGGACCGGGCAGCTACTAGGGCTGTGCAATTTAATCGATCCTCCGATATATATTGCGATATTTTGTTTCCGCAGAAAGTATCGATATTTCAGCTGCGGGTAATCGATACATTAACTTCCCATTCAAATCCCCCGTGGTTCCGCCTGGCACTCTGCTTGCTGCCCATTCCCCCCCCGTTCGCTTTGCCATGAAGAGCGATTAGCGTCAGCCAGCCGAGCCGCTAGTGTCCGCTGTAGAGCATTTCTAGATACCAACAGACGCCGGTGGTCTTCTTTCGCAGCGGCAAAAATAACCACACTGGAGAAGGTCTTCTCACGCCGGAGATATCGGCCCAATCCAAACCACTCCCTCAGCCGGAGTGAACCTCCCGTCTGTAGCCACACCTTCGCAGGCTCAACGAGGCTCCTCCTGTCAGATGGAGGGAGTAAATATCAGCAGGCAAGCTTTGGGGAGCGGGCCTCCCCCCTCTCTCCGGCAGAAACAGGAATGCCGTAACTGTAGTAACAACGGTTTGCAAATCAGCAATCTCTAGACAAAAGGTTTAGATTAATAACCTCAATAAAACACCCCCCCATAACATCTTTCATTGTGTTCAAAGCTCTTTTAGTTTTAAACCTGATGTTTATAAGGCTTCTTAAGTTTTTGCAACGGTCTGTAAAATACAACATACTTTATAATAAATAATCGCAGCCACATTTACCTTTTTCTTGACTAAAACAGGTATGATCCCTAAGTTAAAACCTATGAGTTACAGAGTTGGTTAACATCGCAGTTTATCAGTGGATGTTTGCTGGAACTACTGTTAACAGCTTGACAGCAGCGGACACACACAGCGTGACTCCGGTCAGGTAGAGACCGGTCTCAAGTCAGCACCGCTGCAGACTCGCTGTTTGAGGGCTTGATAGCCCACTCCCCCTCCACACCGCTCCACACTCGTAGACGGACCCTCCGCGTGAACGCGCAAACGGGAGGGGTAGGGTGGTAGGGGGCGGTTTGGGAATGGGCCATCGTCACTGCTCAGAGAAGTGCACTTCTCCCAGACCACGTTGATCAGATTATATTCCTGAACAAAAATCTGAAGAGAATGTAGACGCAGTTATGTAGAGAGGAGCCTTTCTGTTTAGTGTTTTTGGCTTAAATATTACTCCTTTGGACTTGAATTATTGGCAGGTACATTTTACATTAAATGTTGTTCTTAGTGACTTGAATTATTGGCTACCTCATATTCTGGGTTAAGCTAAAAATGCTGTAAAAGAATCTGTTCAGAACAGGCCACCTGCTGCACCTTTTAATTCTCCATTTTCCATTGTGATACTGCACTTTATGTACTTACGTTTCAAAGGCTTGTAAACTACAGTTGGCACTGTTTCAATAAATGAAACCACATTTTCTCACCACATCTTTTGAGTCATTTTGTCCAGCATTTGCAAGCTGTAGACTCTGTGTAGTCAGAGCCATATATTGTATAATTGATGCTTTCAGTTTTCAGTTGAATTAATTCAATCCAAGTCAATGGAACACTCACAAGATGTCACCAAAATCACACTGTCCCTTTAAAATCTTTCAGAAAAGGATGTAAGTGTATCGATATTATATCGAATCGTATCGTTGGCTGAATATCGTGATATATATCGTATCGTGAGCTCAATATCGTGTATCCTATCGCTACAGCCCTAGCAGCTACTGTCTAAACTAAATACTGCCGTGATGAAACGCCATATCATGGATTATCAAGGATTATTTCTGAAACAGTATGGAGCTCAAAGGCTTTCTCTCTTGCCGATTATACCACAAGGTGAGTTCCTTTTTATTTCCTGCTTCTTCACACACATGCTCTCCAGTACAGGTTAGCGTTGAGTGTGTAATCACCGTCCATATTACGTCCAAAACAGTCGGGCATTGTTTCTGATAGGGCCGTGGGTCCACATTTCCGATATTACGCCATATCGGACAAGAAATCTGGATCAGCTCCGTTGTAGCCCCGTTTTTAGAGATTTGGGTACGGAGGAAAAGAGAGAGGGTTTTATTTTCTGACGTTGCGTGAGTTCCCCGACACACCGGGGACACATTTATGTATAAAAGACAACAAAAAGTGCATTTTGCATGATAGGTCCCCTTTTAAGATTAAGCTTACCAGTGCAAGTTAGGTGGTGTTATTTTAATCACACAAGCTTATTATCAAGAATAAAAAAGTTCTTGCCAATTCTTTCCACTTTATGAGGAGAACTTAAATTGGGCAATTTCCATTTTGTGTTGTTTATTTTTATTTTTTTTACTCAGATCTGTTTCAAACAGTGTACTTTAGGTTATTGTTAATTGCTATACTGTTATAGAATTCATACAAGTGTCTGATTTATTCAAACCCCCACACATTATTTGCTGCAGGGTTCTGGGAGTGAAGGACGTCCTGATTCTCCAATTGACAGTTTAGACGGGATAAAGAAGGGCGAACGGAAGAAAGAGTTTGTCTGCCAGGTACGTCTTCAGTATCCCACTGTCCTTACATTTAATTAAATGTGCAAATGCCGCTTTGCTTGTTTCTAACATCAATCAATCAATCAATGTTTATTTATACAGCCCAATATTACAAATGTTACACTTGTCTCAGTGGACTTCACAGTTTGTACAGAATATCAGTATGACAATACGACACCCTCTGTCCTTGGACCCTCACATCGTACAAGGAAACACTTCCAAAGAAACCCCACAGTTAGTGGGGGGAAATGGGAGAAACCTCAGGGAGAGCAACAGAGGAGGGATCCCTCTCCCAGGACGGACAGACGTGCAATAGATGCCATGTGTAAATTGAAAAGATAATACATTTAAAACATAGCCAACAACAGCCATCATGCATGCATTTTTTTCTCTGATCACTCAGTAAAATGTCTCTACCTCCACATATGTCTCAATCTGTGTGTTTTTCCTGCAGGTGTGTCAGCAGGCTGGTGAGGACCTAGTTGCCTGTGAGGGTCAGTGCTGTGGGATGTTTCACCTCCACTGTCTGGGTCCGTCAGTCAAACCTGACGAGAAGCTGCTGTGTCAGGAGTGCAGCACAGGTGAGTTTGAACAGTGAAAAAGAGTTGGTAACTCAGTTTTTTGTGATAACAGAATTACATTTGGATGCATATTTGTATCTATTGCTGTTTAACATGTTTTCCCTCGATGCTTTCCTCAGGGATTCACTCATGTTTCCAATGTAAGCAGTCGGATGGGACTCTGCGTCGCTGCCACGTCCAAAACTGCGGCAAGTTTTACCACGAGGCGTGCATCAGCCTCAACCCCCTCACTGTGTTCGACAACAAGGGCCTCCGCTGTCCGCTGCACGCCTGCCTCAGCTGCAACTTCGACTGCCGCAACAAGCAGAAGTCCACTAAGGGTGAGGCTGTGCGACACTAAAGATGTGACTTTATACTGTTTTAAATTCTGTTTCATTTGGAGTTGATGTTAGTCCTGCGATTGTAGTTCAATCATGGTCCAGGTAAAGGATCAAATGCTCTAGTTGCTTAGTTTCAAGAACATTTATTTTCATGTTTATATAATTAAGTATTGGTGATTACACTTGAGTTGATGATTTCCTTCATGCTAATCCTCATACCCTCAGGCGATGATTGCGTGGCTGTATTAAAGCTGTGTGGGAAAGACATCATCATTATATCTTAACTATTTAACATTTTGAAACTAAATGTCCTGCCATAATTTACAGATTACATTTTTTTAAAGTTAAAAGTAGCTGAAGTTATATTTATTTATTTTCGGACAACATTTTCTATAATATTAGAAAATAAATTATCCTTTTTTATTTTTGACCCATAGTAAGATGAATTTGCAATATAATGCAGTCAACTCCCGTTTTCTGACAAATGAGACTCTAAACATTAAGCCTTATCTATCACTTTTTCTTTATCAGATATGTTTTGTCACTTGTACTCCTGAGTGTGGTGAATCTGTCTAATCTGCTGTATACCTCCATCTTGCTGTTGCAGGGAAGTTGATGCGTTGCCTGCGCTGCCCCGTGGCGTACCACGTGGGTGACCTGTGTGCGGCTGCGGGAAGTGAGATGATCACCAACACAGCCTTTATCTGCACCAACCACTTCAGTGCCAAGAAGGGTTACAAGCACCACACGCATGTGAACGTCAGCTGGTGCTTCGTCTGCTCCAAAGGTTTGCCATTGCTCTCTAATCAGCATGACAGCCAATAGCAATACATTTATGTAACATTTTTGTCTGACAGAATTGTAAGGGTCTGTTGTGCTCTCAGAATCAATAGATTAAAAAAACAATAAATTAATACTTTTTGTATTATGCGCTGCAGAGAGTGCAGTTAATGTTCTGTAGCAACAAAGTTTAGTCTCTAAATAATGCGTATCTCTTTAATCTCTATTAAGGGCTGGCTGTGGAGCTGTTTATAACAACATACTGCAAACTGAAAATCAAACAAGATGCTGAACTAGAGCAGTCCCTGAGCATCAGTTTTCAGTTAGAACCACATCCACGTTTGCAGAGATGTATTTTTTTGATGAAACTAAAACCCTGAAAAACAAAAGCGTATCAAATGTGTAGCTTCTTAGTCTTAAAATCGATACTAACGTAATTCTTTAAGTTCCCCTGTAAACGTGCTGCTTCACAATTTCAACACATCTCTCTCTCCTTTGCACAGATGATTTGATCGTTAATTTGGGCTCTTTTGCCAGCTTTGATAATTCTGACTTGATACTAAATGTTGTTATATTGCAGGAGGCCAGCTGTTGTGCTGCGAGTCTTGTCCGGCAGCTTTTCACCCCGATTGCCTGAACATCGCTATGCCTGATGGGAGCTGGTTCTGTAACGACTGCCGAGCCGGAAAGAAACCCCAATACAGAGACATCATCTGGGTCAAACTGGGAACATACAGGTCAGAGAATCTCTTCCCTTATTCCGATTTCTTTCTATCTGTTCTAATTTGACAGAAACGCTTGTGTTACTTGTGGCTCTGTATTGGGACTGTGACTCTGAATAAAGAACTAACTCTTGTTCCTTCCCCTTTTCCTCTTCAGATGGTGGCCTGCAGAGATCCACCACCCCAGAAATGTCCCCACCAACATCCAGCACCTTCGCCATGAGATCGGAGAGTTCCCCGTCTTCTTCTTTGGCTCCAAGGATTACTTCTGGACTCACCAGGGCCGAGTGTTTCCCTACATGGAGGGAGACCGAGGCAGCAAGCACCAGGGGACCAGCATCGGAAAAGTCTTCAAGAACGGTAAAGATATACTTCCTAGAAACACTTTTTGGACACATTTTGTGATTTAAAAGTTATTAAAAATAATGAAAGAAGCTAGGAAGACAAAAGTAATGAAAATTGCATCAAAGCACAACTTCTGCACATAAAAGTGTTTGGCTTGTTTTGATTTGAACCTTTTACATTTATAGTTGAGGGTTAAAGTTTATGTTTACTCAACCAGTTTTTTCACAAAACTGTGTCTCAGGGCTTCTTAACATTTAAAAACCTATTAATGTGCCATACCCACTTAACGGGAAGAAACTCAGCTAACTGACGATACAAACAATTTTTACCGAAACAAAACACAAGTCTCACAAGAAGCGTCTAAATGAGCCCTGAGCGAAGAAATGCTAACGCACTTAGCACAGAACTCACGGTAGAAATACTTTATTACTTATCCAGGGGTAGACATTAAGGCTTTCTGCCTTCCTCTCATTAGGAGTTAGAAATGTAATGGCTATAGATTAGATTAGATCCTTCATTATCCTAAACTGCTGGGACATTTCCCTAAAGCCAATACCTTTTTATATTGTCTACTCTTCACTTAGTTGTCAGAATAGGTCGGCATTGATCTACAGAGCCGACAGAAGACCTTGTTTATATTGGCATCATATTGAGAGGTGCAGTGACGCGTCCTAAAATCAGGAAGTAAGCTGCTGGTTCCCTCGACAAAAAGCAATGGGATTTCTCCTCAGGGTTTTGGAAAATAGCTGGAAATAAGGTAGACCCTCCAGAAAAACGCGGGCAAAAATCCTTGATTATGCGGGCTAAAATCCTTGATTATGCGATTAAACATGCGGGGGTTTTATGTGATTTTATGCGGTGAAATTGCGGGAAGTTGCGAAAAATAATATTGGGCTGTCTTATTTATTCTCTCTCACACACAACCTGACACTAACGTGAAACCCCTTTCCTATTCAATTAAACACATTCAATGTTTATTTATTGTAAAAGCAATTGGGCTATTTTAATCACACTCTCTCTCTCTCTCTCTCACACACACACTTCTCCGCCTCATTCTGTTTTCATTTACTCGTTCGTTAGCAAGCTGAGATTCCACAGATTCTAGGGGTATTAGTATCATCACTGCGATCAAAACTCACGGCAGGGGAAGCAAACCAGACAACACACGACGTAGCTTTACGGAGCAAAAACGGGACATTGTCTTACCTTTGCTGTTGTTCTGATCAAAAGTTGTGTTCAATGGCTTTAAAATAATAGAAACGCTGCTGAAGGTTAATCCAATGTGTCTGTGTCACTTAGAAATGATTACTGATAATCTATCTTCATATTTATGGCAAAAACTGAGTTTTCATATATAGCTGCTATGACAGCTTTCGGTTTGGGCATTCACCAATGGGTAATGTTTAGATGGATTTTAGGAACCTCCCCTCGATTCTATTGGCTCTAACGGTTAAAAAGAGATGTCAATCATCAAAATCGACCTATGGGTTCCAGAGATATGGAAAATGCTCCCAGAAGTGTTTTTTTGTGCTAAATCTCTAAAAAGGTCAAATGGGCCTTGTTTTGCATTAATCTTGATACAGGGTACTTATTATATGTTATAGTTTTGATCCTAAAGCTTTTAGTCTACTAACCCATCATTCAAGGGTGGTTTTCACTATAAGTAATGTATTTTTTTTTTTTTTGGACGGACACTATCATTTACATTTTTTTACTATGTTCAATCTGAATTTACTTTAAAATAAAAACATCTATATTGATTCTGACTTTTCTACATCCAACTCACAGGTTTATCATTGCTTTGAGAAAAAAGATTATTCATTTACCGCTTTTTAGAAGTGAAGATATACCGTAATTTTCGGACTATAAGCCGCNAACTCCAAGTGGGGATGAGGTCTTAAAATCATAAAATGTATGGAAAGGGTCTTAAAAAAGGTCTTAAAAGGGATTACATCTGACTTCAGGATTCCTGCATATACATGCAGGAATCCTGAAGTCAGATGTAATCCCTTTTAAGACCTTTTTTAAGACCCTTTCCATACATTTTATGATTTTAAGACCTCATCCCCACTTGGAGTTCTAACCGGTTACCTTGGCGACACACTTTACCTCACATTGACTATATACAGTATTGATTGTCCTTCCTCCTTATCTTCCAACCATTTTGACGCAAACTTGCATTTCCCCATAACGATGTTGTTTAACAACCGGCGTAAACGGACCTTCGCGCTATCAAGCAGTGAGCGTGAGATGTCCTGTTCAGATGACGTCAGATCCAACGGGGTGCCATAAATAAACTACACAGAATCACACTACACACCTACGCAATGATTACATTCAGGCAGACTGTAGAATACAACCTCTTTGGACAATTTATAAACTTATTGAAAACAAGCTACAAAATGTAATACCTTGGAAAATACCGTTTAATAGCCTTAATTTTCGCTAAATTGATTTATCAACTTTTAATACTTTTTAAGACCCCGCAGACACCCTGTACAATTTAATATGGTCTGTAATGGACACGTGGGCACTCTAACCCTCTGATGGACTCCAACCCCAATTATAGATGTTGTGCTACTTTGTAATACCCATGGTGACTAATGTATTATACATTTGTATTTTCTGTTATAAAAAAAAAATTATAAAAAAAAGATGTTTACCAGTGAGGAGAGCTTTTGACTTTGGGAGTCTCTTCTTGGGTTCTGTTACATCTTTGTCCGTTTTCTTTCTTCTTCTCCGCTTTTGTTCAGTTCCTTCTGTAGACAAAGCCTGGGACGAGAGGACAAAAGGAAGAAAATCTATTTACAAAGTGCCTACTATTCATTTTGGGAAATAAAATCATGTGAAGTTTGGTAAAAAAAAAAAAGATCATGCATAATTTTATTTTGCTTTGTGTTAGATGTTTACTTATCAAATCATTTTAGATCTCCAAAGTGTTTCTCATCTCAGCTATTACGTCGGAAACCTCACCTGTTTTTCAACTTCTTTGGTGGTTCTAAGTCTCTTTTTGGGCGGCTGAGCCTTGTCTGCCGTAGCATCTGTTGGTGGGCTTTTAGGAGTCCTCTTTCGCTGCTTCTTGACTAAAAACAAAGAAACGTTTTTTTTTTCTTTCAAAATCTTAACTTCGTCCTGAATCAAACATGTTATGTGCCGTTAAGGGATAGCACAGGAAATGAAAACAATGTTTTTAAAGGCAGCTTTGAAAGTGGCTTGAAGATGAATTTAACCAAACGTTGCTGAAGAAAACATAAAAGTCTAAAATAAATTGTCACACTCAAATAAGGATGAAATAGCACATTCTCTTGCATTTGGGCTCACTTAAATGACACATTCTCTATGGCTTTTTTCCACTTAGTCAATCACAACAACATTAACAAGCAACCCAACTATCAAACAGCAATTGTGCAATCAAGGTTGAATGGCTTACTTGGTTTTAACAACACCAACAAACATTTTTTATACAATCAGGATGCAAAGTTCTTAAATAGTCTGGTCACATTAAGAGATAAATGCCACAATAACACAACCACTTCAGCGTTTTGATAGCAGCATGAGGCAATTCACAGATTCCACAGCTCTAGTAAACTCATACCAGCCAAGGCCAGATTTAACTAACTAACTTTCAACCAACCTGGAACTGAAACGGCAAGTGAGACTGGCTCTGAGATATTGTCTGTCGAAGAAACCAGCTTCGATTTCCTTTTCTTTACTGGGGCAGTTGTGTCCGTTGTAGATTTTTTGTGTCTCCTCACGATCTTTGTGGGAGACTGAGGCTGTCGGGGTCTTCGCTTTTTCTTCTGAGGTATGACTGATTCAGCTTCCAGATCTGGTGCAGAAGTGGTAGGATCCTAAAAAAGAAATCATTAAGAAATGTATCAACTGACACCATCCCAAAAAGGCAAAAACTTTCCAAAAACCCTAGTATAACACAATTAGGGTTTTACATATTCACATTCAAAAAATTGCTTACTAGTATTTTCACAGATTGATTTAGTATTAGAATAAATATTTGTTTCTATTTAAAAAGTTAAAAGGTCAATAAGTTGTGCGTTTATAAGATGGTTTATCATGTTGAAGCCTATTCGTCAATACAGCAGCAAAAAAAACATACTTGTTTGAAAAAAACAGCTGTTTCGGGTCGTACAAGGCTAAATGGCTTTATCCACGGTTTCATTTGCACTTCAGAACGTTTCATGGAAGGTCCCACATTTACCTGCTCCATGAACCTGTGTCTGCAAGTCTGCATTCAAATAACTCTAAATGATGCAGGACACAAGCGATCCACTGATTTGACTGAATAATCCTCACCTGTGAGGCTGGCTGCGGATGAATCACATCTTTGGAAGAAAGTGTCTTTTTCAGCAGTTTTTTCGATAATACATTTTTTAGAAGGTCTTTGCCCGTTCTTCGGCTTCCTCCTGAGCTGAGTTTTTTTCTGGGTGCTCGTGTCTTTTTCTCTGTTGAAGTGCTTTCTTGGGATTGAGGGGCGGCTATGGGGTCGGCGGCGCCGCCCAACATCAGGAAGGGAGGTTCTGGGCTGAGTCTTGATTCTGTCTCCTGGGCCTGCTCGTTGCTCGGTTCTGGCTTCAACTTCTCCAGGATGCAGGAGTTCAGGTGGGGACCGTCCTCATCGTACAGAAATGTGAAGTTCACTTTGCGCTCGTGCTGTGACATGCTGATGGCCTCCTTAGCCTGCATGACACCCATGTTCCACTGAACCTGGAGTTTACGGGGCACAGAGGGAGCCGTCTGCATGGCAGAGGGAGGGAAAGAAACATAGTTATACAAAAGTTATATAAATTACCACCCAGTAGTGTTGTTTAATCTTTGTGTTCTCCTCTGGAATATATGCTGCTAGGAGAAGGCCATTAACAAAGAAATACTTGTCTTACATTGAGGAGAGAAATAAAAACGTTTACAAACTTGATTACTAGGATGTATCGTTTTTATGTTGTAAACATTATTCATTTCCTGTTTGTGGTAAGAAAACAGAATGAAAGTCTAACTGGGATGGCTGTTTGTTTAATGCGTTTCAGGGCTGTTGTTGTTTTTTTTTTTTAAATGGCACATGCTTCTTCATTTAATATTTTGAAATGTAATCACCAGAGGGAACTTTGCATAAAACAGTTTAGGGAAGTGCAACGTTTTAATGTTGCAATTCTGTCTTAACAGCAGCACACCACATCATCTACAGGCCAAAGGAAAAGGGTGTCACACTAGAAGAATCTAATTTACCTTTTTGTGAATCTCACGGGAGGCTGGCCGTTTGTTGCGCTGGATAAGCTCCTCATATTGATCTTCCCCAGTAAAGGTCACCATGTTCTTCTCAAAGATGTAGCCTCTCTCTGGAGCGTCTCCAAAGTACTGCACGTGGTAGAGGAGGCCATACCTGGTAGTGATGGCTAGAATAAATAAAAGTAGACACACACAGGATTAATATTAGTATAAAAACAGAGCCTCTTAAAAAAAAGTGGCAGAGACTGTTTCTCACCTTTCTGTTTCTGTTTAATGTGAGTGTTGAAATCTGGGTCTGTGGTCACCATGCAAGGCCACCAGGGGTATCCTGACACTTTGGTCCAAACCAAATCACCAATAGAAAACCGGATCAGCAGAGGGGATTCTTTTTTATCCTGCGGAAACTCTTCAATGAGTTCAAGCTGCAGGAGAGGAAAAAAACAAACAATTAATCAATAAGAATAAAATAGAAACTAATCCAAGTTTCCATCACCTTTTCTCTCCTAAAAAAAATAACCAATAGTTTTTCCACACAATTTTAGACACATACATCAATATAAGTACTTTACAGTTTCCAGTATTTACTGGCAAACAGCAATATCTGCAGGAGTGCATTAAGGTTTAAGGAAATGTAGGCATGTATATCAATTTCCAACATTTCAAGCCTATGCTGAAATTTTTTTATACTTCAGATTGAGCATCAATTTCCTCAAGGTATGTGGGCAAATATTTGAATGTCAACAGATTGAACAAATGTTATTTCTCTGTCAAAATTCACTGTGAATTCAACTTTCAATGTGAGGCCTGGTAAAGTTTGTACTAACATGTATTACTCTTTATTTGGTTTAATATAATCCGTCAGCAAAAAATGTGCACATCATCAGGTTTATCTTTAAACCGGTATTAGCTAGGCATATTGTGGTTTGTAAACACGCATGACAAACAGAAGTTCTTCCTTCAATTTTGGTTTTCGGTAGATATATATTGAGTTTCTACACCTTTATTGTGATCGTTATTATTATTATTACTACTACATAGGACGGCCGCCAAAGTTTGACAGGAGAGGGGGGATTGAGAGGGGATGACATGAAGTAAATGGCTTAAAAGTAGGAATAAAAGCCAAACCTTTTCAGCTGATCCATCTACAGCTTTGGTGAGGTCAAGTGGCTCCACAGGGATAGCAGGTAGGTTTGGTTTGTGAGGTCCCCCCCTCCTTTTCTTTGAGTCCTGTCTCTTCTCAGGTCCTGATAAAGTACCTTCGGTGGCCGTGGCCAAACTGGTCCCATTGGCACAACATTGCTCAAACAGCGGCTGCTGTTCCTTGAGTTCATGTTCGGTATGAGGAGTGCAATTATGTTGATGGGTGCCATTCGTAGAAGGGGCTTCAGCGCCCTTAAGCATAGGTAGCTCTGGAGCACAAAGCTTAGGCAGCGTGTCTTGGTCGCCATTCAGCATAATGGAGGTGAGATCTTTGAGCCTCTCGTGGCTGTGGGTAATATGATTGTGGCCAGCCATCTTCTGAAGGCCATCCTGTAGTGTGGCGGCTAGCTGAGCAGCAGCTTTGTCCATTAGTAAAGCAGGGTCATTGCTCATGTCCCCCCCTCCTTTCCGAACACTGAGGGACTCTGACGGCTGCTTCATGTTGATTGGGCTGGCAGGTTCTGGCATTGAAGGCAGGGAGCTACCTTTGCCATCCATCCCATCCAACCCCCTCCAGGCTCAATACAAGGTAGGACAGAAAGTTCTTAGCACACAGACAACATACAAATATCATAAAAAAACAATTATTGGTACTCTTCATTCTGGCAATTAGTAAAATAGCATTCTGGGATACGGGCATATATGGGCATAACATTACATATTTTACAAAATGGCACTCACTTGCTCAAGTGGAGCATGAACAGAGAGCTTGGAGGCGACTGAGAAAACTGCACCTGTCACGGATTGTTCTAATCCTGTATTCTTCAATGTTTTAATAAGAAAGTGGACTCGTACCATGACCATATGTCAGAAACAACAATGCCTCTGTAAAGTAATGCCTCAATGAAATTCAGAGCTATTCGTTGATCACAACTATGATAATGTGAACGAGGTCATGTAATTATCGATTAGTCCATGCATACGAACAAAAAGCACAGTGCTGGCGGAAAGCCTCTTACCACGACAGTGTTTAACTTGGCTTTCTCCTGGAAAAGGTCTAGCTACCGGCTAGCTGATGCACAGCGGTGTGAAGAATGCAGGAGGCTGGCTGCAGGCTCCACCGCATGCAGCGAATACCCAATGAGTGGGAGGCTAGCTGTGCTGCCGCCGTATCACCGGCTAGAAAAGCCGCGGAAATGGAAGCAGCTGACAAGTCGGAGTATTGCTAATAATTGATGGATTTCAATGTATCCCACATAAGTAAAAAACGGGTTACATGGGGGTTCACGTTAGAGTGCATTGTTAATTAGCTGAACATTACATCACTTGCAACGGCTGTGTACAGTAACATTAACACAAGCATTTTTAAGATTCTAACGTTAACTCACAAAAACATTACAGAGGCCAACGTGAAATATATGGAGCCAGCAGATGCACAGCACATCATCCACAAAACAGGGCTTCGACTAAAATCTGAAGAAGCAGCCACGATGTGGGAATCTCATGGATACAATCCATGGACAAGAGTTTTCCCGTACTGCACAACCGCATCTCTGTCAAAGCTACAGTCAGCCATTACAACGCATTTCAGCAAATAGTCAAAGCCGCTTCCCCAAAAGCTAAACGCAGCCACCTATAAACTAAGGTAGAAAAACAAATACGTGAATAACTAAACACAATGGTGTACGGCTGGACGTAGTGTTTTTAAACTGTTTATCTATTATTTCCGTGGTGTACTCAATTTGCAGGCGCCATGACAGCTCGTTTCAAACAAGCTAACGGTTTTAGCCGAAGCTAACAAGCTTACAGTCAAATTGCACTAGTGTTAGCACAGTCAGCTAGCATTCAAGCTAGCAGGTCCTCTCTTGCTAAAATGGATGGTCGGGGCGAACAAGTGTACACGCGAAAAACTAACGCCGGCTAATGTCTCCAGGGTTGACAATAACATGAAAGACAGTCTCTTTGTGATTACCTGTTGAATCTCCTCTCGGTCGTTATAGTGGATACATGTCCGTATTCATTCTGGAAAGCAGAGGGATTTCATTCAAGTCGAATCAAAAGCTTGCGGGAAACTCAAAATCTCCGGCCAACCAGCGCGAAAAATACTCACTTCCGATTGGTCGGCAGCAGAGAGAGGCTCCAACCGGTCCTTTCAAAAACCCAACCGTAGGAAGTAGCTGCCTGACCCGGTGTCTCCATCTGTTCTGACATAATTTCACAACGTTTACATTATTATTTAATACTAAATACGATCACTGTATGTGTGTGTTTCTTACACCACTTATTCACTACTAACATATGTTGTTAAAAGTATACATGTATATTATGTACTGCTTAATATCACTTTCTCCTACCATATCAGCATTAGGGCTTCAACAAAACAGTCTGAAATATGTAAAATAAAAACATTGAATTAGTGCTTGTATGTTAAAGAATATTGCCACTTTATGACATATTTAAAATAGTTTTTTGAAAGGGAGGAGGCCTATCATTTTTGATGGGTACTCATTTAGTATAAATATTCATAATAACAAAAATTCCAACAACTTAAAACAAATTGCAAATGAGATAACATATTGAATTTGCAATATAGTGGTCAATAGTTTATAATCCTGCTATTTGATTTTGATGGACATAAGGAAGAAGTCTTTACATTCAGCCCACTTATCTTATGTCTTATGTGATGCAATTTATCGTAAGCTTTTATAAGGGAAAAGTTGCTACAATAAATCACTAACCATGTTCATGCAGTATCTGTATACTAAGGTCGTGGTCTGGTAATCTATGTTCTAATGGTGGATTCCTTAGGGTTAATTCATTAGGAGTGGATTGCAGTCTTCTAGGATATGCTGTTCCTTGTCTTAATTAAATAACCGGAGGCCAAACGTTAATTGAGGACCTATAATTACATGTTGATCTAAATTCCTCTTCCTGGCAACGACCCGGTCATGGCAGAGCACAGAATCACATGCTTCCCTGCTTGTGAAGTAAATGCAAGCTGCAGTACCAACAGGGGAAACTGAGGAGCGTGAAACTAAATAAAATAATACAGACCACATCCGGAAACCTTTGCCTTTCAAAATAAAAGACACCATTCTTGATGGAGTATTCCAACAATGAATGACATCGGGTGAGAGATGACTTGAGCATGTGGACATCTCATCACATAGATATGTAACGGTAACTTTCACACAAAATAAGAAGTACAACAAAAATGATGTTGGTTGCTTCAATTGAGTTTTTATGTTGATGATTGTGCTCTGTGGGAGCTTACTGTTTTTGATTCATTCATTCAATCTTTATTTCAGACTCAAGGTCAATGTTGGGTTGATGTTAAACAAAGCAGAGGACAAAGGTGTAAGGCCAGGTTGTGTTAAGGTTAAAAAGGGGAAACACAAATCAATTGGGAAACTATTTCTAACACAATGTCTGCATGCTACAAAATGTAATAGTCTGTTCATTAAGAACTCAGGATGTGGTTCCTTTTACCCTTGTAACTTAAAATGGTTGATTACTGGGATTCTCCTAAACACCCTTTGCCAGTAATTTTTTTAGGACTCTTCTGTGTTATTGCTGGTCCTTGATTTGTATGTATTCTTATTTTATTTCAATTCATATGTCTCAATATTCGTATAATAATTTGTCCTAAGTAAAGCCAATGTATAATACCTTGTGTTTTGTGAATTGTTTGTGTTTTAAATCTATTACATTTGTTTCCCCATTGTGTTTTTTGCAGCTTCTTATTTCTGTTGTTTTGTTGTGACCATTTTGAGTCTCCTTGTGGTTGTTACATGTCTGTTTTAGTAACATTTCGTAGGTCCAGGGCAGGCCAAGAGGCCCTTGACACATTTGCCCTGGGAAGCCCGTCCAACACGGAAACACATGCTTTTATTTTTATAAACAAACCGGAAGTCTTTCATAACCTCAAGCTGCTTAACAATAACCCCAGTTTGACGTCAGTCGGGAGCCGGGTTCGGTTAGCTGTCATCTGCGTAGAAGGGAAGGGCATGACATGGACCGAAATTTTCCGGTGTACAGTTATCCATGCGTAGTAGCTTGTTAAAAGCAAACAAGTATTTTTGGGGGTGTTATTTCTTCATGTGACAAAGTTAGCGGTTTATTTCGTATTGACTACGCACTGGCTAGCTAGCAGGCTAACTAGCTCTTAATTTACTGTAACTGTTTAAAGGAGTTCAAACAGAAAGCCTCCGCATGGCGTTAATCCTGTTGACGAGGTCCCGGGCACCTTTAATGAAAACATCCAGGTCGTTGAAGAACGAATTCAGGAAAAGTAAAGGTAAGACTTGATTATGATCATTTGTTATGCTGCTTTGTAAGTTACTAAGTGTTAATAATGACTGGTATGGAGGCGAGCTAAAGCTGCGTAAAGGCTCTATTGCACGTAAAGCTTTTGTGTTATCAAATTGTCGCCTGACTCTGAACCGCACCTTTTCTGATATAAGGAGTCAAAACGTGATGGCGGATTCAGGTTATATGAGGACAACCCTGCTTTAGCTGTTGAGCGCCCCCCTCTTTCTACTGCAGTCTGTGAGGATGCTCCGTGTTATGGCAGGCAGGATTACATGTTACTTGTTAGACGCTTTTCTCCAAAGCGATTTACATACTCAATACTGTGGGCAATCCCCACAGGAGCAATTTGGGGTGAAGTGTCTAGCCCAGGGACACAACGACATGCTGACTGCAGTGGGGTTTGAACCTGTGACCCCCTGATCCAAACACCAACTCACTAACCCACTGCGCGACACGCCGCCCATGCTGGTTAATCAGACAGGATCCTGTCTGTTTATCCAGCATCCACAAGAAACCTGTTTATTATGACTATAGAGACGAAATAAAGCCAGTAATTAACAACTATCATGATCAGTCCTGTATGCAGGAGCCTTGGGTTGGCCATGTTTGTGCTTTTGGGAAGATGGTGGGTGTCTGAAGGTGATAACCCAGCATAATATTTTAAACTGCCGGTCATTTATTATGGTTTCTACTTTGCATGAAGGTTATATTGCATAAGGTTTAGGTTTGTCAGTTCTCGAGGCTCTGCAGCTTGCACCCATTCTGATCAATAAGGAGCAAAACATGATTTGGGATGCAGGACAACCTGGCGTCTGTTATTGCTGCAGAGCGCCCCCTCCTCTCCAATGCAGCCTGTGAGGATGCTTGTTGTTAGTGCAGGCAGGTCCCCCTTTTAAAATGAGCATTCACAAGATACCCGAATATCAAAGCAAGATGTTTTTGTTGGATATAAAAGGAATGACACAATTTTTTGTGCCGATTTTGTGATCCTGTAGCACAGTTTATCTAGATTGTATTCATATTGTTTATGTTTGGACAAGCATGGGAAATGTTGAGCCACAAGAAGGTTGAATCGAAAGAAGCAAATGCAGAGCCCGGTGAGGATGTTGTGCATTTTCAAACATGTGACTTATCTATTTGAATACACAGAATATGTCTCACCATTTGAATTATGCAATAAGATATCATGGGTTAGTTTTTTTAGGGGTGTTATTCTATGCACATGTGCACAATAAATGAATCTCATACAAAGAGAAAGGATGCTTTGTACCAGATTTGGCTTCTAGCTACTTTATACCTGCAGTCCCTGGGCAGGAGGACACAAACACTTCACAGGTATCTTTTTGCTACCTTTACAGTGTAATCCAAGCTTTTAGTATTTCATAAATTGTCTCTGGGTGTATGAAAGTATAGTGGAAAATTATGCAAATCATTGAGCAATCATTTTTGATCAACAAACACAGTTATTTGTCACGTATTTAACACATTAAACTAAACATGCATTCCTGGTTTCTCAATTCATTTCCAAGAAAATGACAGGGTCACAATATACTGTATGGCAATATATGTTTTTTTTGTACGATCTTAAACTGGGCAGTGGTCAAAGTAAATGTGGCTGCAGACCAACTCAGTAATTTCCTGTCATAAATTAATTGATAAGGTTTGCATGTTAGCCGTTGTATAACCGGCATGGATATTAAGGTCGTATATTTCCCTGCACACTTTGTCTTAAATACAATGTGTAACGTGTATCACAGTTGTCAGGAAGAAGATATTCGAGGTCAAAGCTCGAGTAGTGTGATTGCATGTCTCTTAGTTGGTGCATTAAAGCTTTACTTATAAATAGATGAGTAGGTCATAAAGGGAATTTGCCTGACTGAGGCTGAGCACTTGGCTTCGGGCCCAGAGTCTCAGACGAATTGTGGTGCTTTCACAAGGAAAGGTCAGTGCCTCTCCTAAATCTGCCTGAGACAGGCTGAGCGTAGTTTCCCCTTTCTTTACGTCTCTTCCGCTGACAGGAGAGCTTAATTACATGCAGCTAGTGTGGAGGACACTACTATATTCTGGTACAATAATAATAACCAGCCAAAGAGTCAGCATTTAGTTCCTTAATAATAGTGACCAATGGGCTACATTAACTCTTGAACATTGATCAGCTTGCAGTTTTTGCAGATTGGATTTGAAGCAGTCATCAAACTAAGGTTACAAGGTCAGAAGTAGTAAAGGTTATGGCATTATCTAACGCAGTGTAAATAAACTACAGGAGAAACGATAAGGTTTTCATTGTAATAAAGTGATGGTAAACATGCACTGTTGTACAGTAAGTGTCCTATTAGTTATTGTTTCAAGGTGCCATATGCTACAATATGAAACAGTGTATATCTTTTTATTAACTTATTCTATGCTTGTTTAAAGCCCTGTTTACACACATTTAGCATTTCTGCTTGAAAATGTATATTTTGGTCGTCTGTTCACTTATTGTCAGTGTGACCGAGAGCGTTGTCAAATGGGAAATGATGACCCAGAAACGTCATATTTGATGGACAGTGTGACAGAAGATACTTCACATTTGAGAGCCACTAAAGCCACATAGACAGAAAGTCTTGCATATCAAAACGCACACAGTCTGCACGTTGGCTTAGGAACATACTGTCCAGTAAACAACTATTTTTAGTTTATGGTTTGTTTTTAAGTTGCCAGTGTGTACTGTAAACTATATTACTATGTTAATAGTAGCTATGTAAAATATATATAATCAATTTTAATTAAGCTCATAATGGCCCTGGATTTAGAGCACAATGCAAGGAATCATCTTTGGTGGGAGATGTCCAGTTAAAGAAATTATTATGGCCCTACCAGCAATCCTATGAATTGCATAAGATCCAATCTAAGATGTTAAAAGAACCTGTATGGATCGTTTTTGTGCAACACATCATTATACTTGTTGAAATGGCTGAGAACCAAAGTATCAACTTGTGAGTTGAGCTGGCTCCAGGGTGCACAAACACACGAGGAAGTGATTTAACACAAAACAGACCATGTTTTTGGTCAAACATCAAGCAGCGATCGCATGTAATGCCAAGCAGGCGTAGCAGGGCATGACTAGGTCATGACCTTTCAAGGCTAGACCCTGTTTAAAAACAAAAAGGGGTCAAAACCGAAGACCATTGTTATCATAATCCTACCCAACACCAATTAATACAGAATACTCTTCTGTTAGGGCTGCTCGATTATGGCAAAAATCATAATCTCGATTATTTGGGTCAATAATTGATATCACGATTATTAAAAACGATTATCCATTTACTTTGAACATTTATTGGGAAAAAAATGTGAAGAGTATTTTTTTAACAGTTGATTACCCTGAACTTTAAGTATAATTCAACTGAAAAACCAATACAAAAAAAAAGGTTTTACATTTAAAAAATAATCGTTTTATTTCGATTATGTTGTTTTCATAATCGTTGCAAGCCAAAATCGTAATTGCGATTTAAAATACGATGAATTGAGCAGCCCTATCTTCTGTAGAAATATTACATCTGAGATGTGCAGATAAATAAATAAGGTAGTAGTGCTTTGATTTGAAATCAAATGTTAATCCCATGCTAAAGAAGTTTGTTCTGATTTGATTTTCTGTGGTCATTAGAGAAAAAACACTAGAATCATTTTCAGTTTTACTTTACTAGAATATGGTTAAAGTTTGTGTCAACATTTCTTCTTTATTCTGCAAGTTTGTGTCTACACAGTAAGACATGAATGATTGCCAGAGAAACAGAGAATGCAATTGCATAAGTGAAGTTAACTTTTTGAAATAAGTCTCCAGAATTGTCATTTCTCCACTCTGTATAAACATGCGTCTCACGTTGTTGTTGCTCCTTCTGGGGTTTCTATACTTTTTTCCATTAAAGGCATTTAAGGGAGAATTTTCATTGACTGAAGCAAGGGCCTAACAATAAAGGGTGTTATATACACTAGTGCTTTATTTTAGGTTATATGCTGACAATCCATGATAATTGGTTAAATAATTAAAAACCAAACCCTATTTTAAAATTCACACAAGGTTTAGTATTGCCCCCATGGAATATTAAAGGTGGGGTAGGTAAGTTTGAGAAACCGGCTGGAGATACACTTTTTGTTATATTCCATGGAATGCTCAAACATCCCGATAGCAATGAATATCTTCAGTGCTTTGACAAAAAATCCATAAAAAAATGTCATCTGGAAGCCGTAGTACTGTAAAAAGCACGACCAATCATCTGAGCCGGCCCGGCTAAAATAACTGGATGGCCTACCTGCCTGTCAGCCTTCCATCTGTGCACAAACTTATCTCGTGCCCTCATTGGTCATGTGCACGTTCGTGTGTGTTGGAGGAGGGGCTCTGTAAGGAAGTGGCAGATTTTTTCCGGCTGTGTATTTTCAAATTCTAGCGCACTCGAGCTGGTTTCTCCAAAATTACCTGCCCCACTTTTAAGTACTCCTTTTTTAAGATATAAGGTCCTCCTAACGGTTGTCAATGTGTTAAAGCAACACATCAACTAGCAGGAACACAGCTAGTATAGTGGTATTACCTAGTGCCATACATCTGTACACTTGTTAAAATAAACATATTGTCTTGTAGCTCTAAAGTGTATCCATTTTGATTTATGATAGTTGTGCAACCAGAATTACAAAGTGAAAGTGAAAAGTGAAATATCTTTGACTAAATGTGAAAGCAAAACGGTAAAACCCCCAAGAGGATCAAACCCAGAGGACTGAGGTTATACTGCTTGACCTGCTACCGGGTTAGCTAATCTACTGTATTTCTAGCTGTTTCTTTCTTTACCACATGAGGCGGCCGCTCAGCCACAAAGGTGACACTGTTCCAGTAAACTCTGTCCTGCTGGCGGCCGGCCACCGCCTGACATGTTCAACCAGGCCTCCCTGGATCCACTGCAGTGGGCCATGTGAGCGCAGGAGGGAGGGCGTGGTTAGGCCATGTGCTCTGACCTGATTGGTTGAAAGTGTCTCACTACTCCACCTCCTCTCTGCATGTACATCACACTGAAGGGGGCCTCAGGGGTTTGGGAGCCCTGTTAGCCTCCCAGGGTCAGGGTGGCCTCCAAGACAGATCAGTGTAAAGACAATAACAGAAGAATGTAGCACCTCATTTGTGTGGAAGAGGTATTTGCAGATACATAAAGTAAAATAAAGATATTTATTCATATCAATTAATATTACTAATGCATTAATGTGTACATTGTGTTTTTGTCTGTAGATGTAGATGTATTACTCTATGCAAATGTTAACTCCTTGTATCTGTTGGATAGTTTATGGCATGGCATCATATTCCATAGGATCATTATAGGTACTAAAAAGTACCTCAATATTGCAGTACAGAAGTACCTGCTTAAATTCTACTGCCACAATTAGTAAAACATGAATGAAGATAGCAGCAGACTGTAGTTATACATTCTTAGCTACACTATCACTAAAGGCATCAGGAGGGACTTCACGTTATATGACGTTATTGCATATCCAGTTACAAGCGCTGCTTTGGGGTTTTGCTCAAGTCATTACTGGGTCAGAGAAAAAGTAGCATTAAAGTATCAGACTGGTTAAAACCTGAATATAGCTGCTGAAGTCCCTCAGTTTCCTCTATGTAGTTTTTCATGCCCCTATCTGTCTAATGACTGGTTTCCAGAAGATGGCTGCTCATGTTGTTTTTCTCCTCCTTTCAGGGAAAGTACAAGATGGTGCCTGTTTCAACTGCACAGCGCTCAGACTCTCCAGTCAAAAGTAAGCCAATCAAATGCTACACTGTCTATATGTCCCGCACACATCAGAGAGAAGCTTATATTGGCCTAATTTAAAACCAAAGAATTTAAAAAGGTCTTCCGTGCGGTATAATATTACATTTTGAGATTTGCCCTCAGTTTCAAAGGACTTTAAAGCTTTTGCGGTTTTTTGGATTTTGCTATTATGTAATAAAAAAAAGCCCCCGTTCAAGCCTGGTTCAAATGCTTGCAGATAAGTGACCCATGTTAAATCTTAGATCTTAAACTTCAAAGTCATCTTTTGAGGTGTTGTTTTTTGCTTATTTAGTCGAGTATACCTTTACTGTGCTTTTCTGAACCTCATTTTAAAAGATTGCAAACTAGGCCAATTTCACAAGAAGTGTTTACCAGAATTTAGAAATCATCAAAATATTCATAATATGTTCATGTTGTGAAAAACTTTAATTCCTATTCATTTAGAAAATGTTGTTCCAATAGGCTATTATGTAGAGGTTTTTTATAAACTGACTGATATTGTATTCTAATAAATTTGATCTCATAATTCTTTAAGACTTAACATGTCTTTGTTCTAATTCTCTTTATCTTGGTGTACTCTTAGACTTGATGGGCTCCGGCTGGGCAGTTTGGCCCAGGCCTCTCCCTCTGGCCCTTCCCTCCTCCTGTCAGATGGGTACGTGGGCCCCAGCCAGAGCCCGGACTCCCAGCGCCTCCACTGTGCTTTTATGTTGGGGGCCTCCTCTTCAGCGTACCCCGCCATCACAACAGGGCCCCAGTGGACGTTAGCCCGACCGCAGGACATCCGAGGTGTGAGGTGGATTCACACCTCGAGGAGGAGATGGGACGACTCCAAGGTGGAGAAGTCCCTGCGTATATTAAAGGACAAGAAAAAGACGATGGAGGAAGGCGGGCCGGTGTACAGCCCCATGCAGGATTCAGAGCGCGTGAGGAGGTCCGTCCGACAGTGGATTGTAGACGAAGTCAAACACTACTACCACGGCTTCAGGCTGCTGTGGATCGACACCACCATCGCTGGGCGCATGCTGTGGCAGGTGCTGAACGGACACCCGCTGTCCCGCCGAGAGAGGAGACAGGTGAGGCCTGCAGGGGAAATATCCTGTATGAAAGGTTCCTCTGGAAGACATATCTGTTAGAATGATGCTTTCATTAAATGTGTTTATTTAAAGGGACATGCTTTTTTAATAATGCGACCCTCACATTCACACACCTATTAACATTGTTCCACATTTGGCTTGTAAACAGCTCTGCTGGAGTATTGGGTTTTCAGTTATTCTTTATTCGGTTCCTTGTACTGAAAGCTGACGTTCCAAAAATAAATGCATTAAAGTATAGTTATTTTTTGCTAAAAGGTCAGAATCAGAATGTAGGTAATCGTAAAGGTAAAAGTTACGACCACAGTTAGCTACAGTCGGAGCAGCCCTAAAGTATGAGGTACAGTAGGTGTATTTTAACACCATATATCTTCCTTCCTTACAGTCTTGATGCAGCATTAACTGGTAAACCCCTCCCTTGAAGAGCATTACAATTATCCAAGCTTAGCAACTTGGCTCAGCACAGCATGTATGGATGTATGGTGTCTTTTTGCTTGGAGGATGCAGCTAGCCTTTTAAGATTGTATCATGTATGTCATCAAGTGGATATGTTTGAGTCTCCAACATGATTCTCTTTTTCCAATGAGTCAGCTGGAAAACATTAAAAAGACCACAAAACATGTCTCTTTCAAACATTTCATGTGGCTAACTTTAGCTGAAATAGCTAGAGCTGCCAAAATCTGTTGACATGTAATTTGCTAGTTGCTGGCTAGAAGTTTAGAAACCTGCTTTACCCCTGGGTTGTAAACAGCATTATGTGCTGTGTGGTACAAGGAAAGCTTGACAGAACAGGGTGTCCACGGGGTCTTAAAAAGTATTAAAAGTTGATAAATCAACTTAGCGAAAATTAAGGCTATTAAAAAGTATTAAACGGCATTTTCCAAGGTATTAAGAAGGTCCACAGCAACGACAACATGAAACACCCTTTCATTGAATGAAACGACATGTCGGGAAACCCCCTCCAGGCGCACCGTAAAATGCTGCTTCTTATTTTAAGTTTCGATGACTTGCTCCGCTCTGTGGGGGGGGAGGGGGGTGGGTGGTAAGAGTTCACTAAGCCAAACTATATCCGGTCACAGAGATCTGCTATTTTAAAGTAAAGTCAACACATATCGACCCCTAAATATAGTCTATATCATATACTCCTATATGGCATTACCCCGCTGAAGCTCACCAAAGTTTAATATATTTCATAGTTCAAAGTTTTGTCAATTGTTTTGTTTATTGGTCAAATACTGGTTTCTAATGGTTTCTGAGGAGTCTACTGGAATGAAAGAGCACAGAAGCAAACAAGCAGCATACTGCATTAAACCTGACCTTCACAGAGAGGTCAAAGTTCATGTGGAAAGGAGGCATCAGTAGTCTGTCTGCACTCTGTGTAGTTTTGCTATCTTACAATCAATATAGTAAATGTGAGGTAAAGTGTGTAGCCAATGTAACCGGTTAGAACTCGAAGTTGCGATGAGGTCTTAAAATGTATGGAAAGGGTCTTAAAAAAGGTCTTAAAAGGTATTACATTTGACTTCAGGATTCCTGCATATACCCTGCAGAAGTAAAAAAGCATATCAGGCAGGGCTTAGCAAACATACATTGCCGGTAACATGTGACCACGTCTGGTAAGTAAATGAATTCTGTCAGATATTTGAACAGAAACAAAGTATGAATCAATCAGCCATTGTTTCCAGTGAAGCTTTTTTTCCAGTCAGAGTTTACAGAGTAGATTAGCAGCATGAGTTTAAAGACCAGAGATGACTTCAGCACTAAAAATGTCTGACAGCCCAGACATCTTGTTCTGTACGGTTTAATCCATAGCTTCTCAAACCTAATGGGATCAATTAAAGAAATTGGCTACAGTGTGAGTGTTTACTAACCAGGCGCTCAGCAGATTGTGCTGTGTGGTTAAAGCTCTTTAGGAAGAGGCTTTATCTTTGAAAATAAAACTCATTTAACTTTAGCTTCACACAAAGCGTACATTAGCCAAAGTGTCCAAGCATTGCTTCGGTGGTTGATGCTTCCCAAACAGCATTCCTTGAAGTAAACAGTAGTACGTATTTGCTTAAAAGGAAAACAGCTATTTGATGAAATGTTGTTAAAGTGCTTTTTGCCGTGACCTGCCTCTTGCTTTGAGTCGGCCTGCAGTCAGGGAAGTTGTCTGTATTGATCCCGGGGTTACTGCAGTACTCTGATGCAGGTGCGGGCACTCAGGTGTTATTTCAGGCAAGATGAGCAGTTCAGACCAGGTGACTTTCATAAGACGGGATGCTACAGACTTAGTGGACCCACTTGGCAAGTTGTGAGTGCGGCTGCTCTTTAAAAGGCCTCTGCTGCTAATGCTGTTTAACTAGATATATCACTTTTAAAATAATGTTTGACTGATAAAAACTTTCCTTGAACATTCGAAAATGTACAGCAAAGTATTAACAGTTGGGCTGGTGAATACACTACACACTTTACTAAAAAGCCTTAAGAGAGCCTTTCTTTACAAGGATAATAATGAAATACTTGCTACAATAAGTTCATAGCAGGAGCATATACAGGAATGTACAGGTGTTTTACTTCCAGACATGGCTGCAGAGGCGTGTTTACAATGCAGTTTCACAAGTTATACTGACACAAAGATAATGGGACCCCTCGTGCTTTGCAAAGCGATGGCACAACAGCACAAAGCAGAGCTGAAATACGCCTGGTCCCTTTTACAGTGAGCCTTTGCTATAACCATTAAACCTCCCCCACCCCCCCATCTGCACCTTTTCAAATGCGGCTGAGCACATGTCCTGAAGTCCATCTCCACCCCATTCATCTAACCTGCAGCGCCATCGCCTACTTAATCTCCTCCTTTCATATTCCATTTAAGGCTTCTTCTATTTTAATCTGTCACCCCCCCTGCTCCCTCCTTTTGATGTGGAACTCTGGGAGATGATATACATGTCAATGGGCAAGCAGACAAAGGCCTTTTCACTCAGGCCGGCCGAAACCCTTCACCCTACTGGTCCGCTGACATGCAGGAGGAGAAAAAGGGACTTGTGCTTTGGCCTTCTCTACTCTCTTTTCTCTAGATGGTTGGTTGGGATTGCGTCTCTGGACGGCCAGTAAGCCACAGTTGGACAGCAGAACAATAAAGTAGACTAGCGTTAGCCTGGTACTTCTATACTCTGAGGATTGTTCAGGGTTGTGCTTCACAAATGTGTCCTCACAAGGGGACAGTTCCTGAGCCTTGTGAGGCAGAATGTTCACTTTGGTCTATAGAAAATGACGCAACATTGAATTAGGAGGTTTCTGTTGCCCTGGGGATGTATGGGGTCTAAAAAAGTGCTGAGTGTAGAAACTAGAGGGATTGAGCAGGGTGATTGTACCAGGAGACAAAGGAAGAACAATTTTGTTCACATATTTAGCCTGTCCCCTCACTGCTGCCCCCTGCTGGAGGTCTGCTGGGAATGAATGGTGCTTCAATGTAAAGCAATATTTATCAATGAAAACCAACACAACACAAGCAGACACTGGTTTACATTGTAATATAATGTGAATACAAGTGCACATGGGTATCAGTTTGTGAATACCACACAGTACACACACACCTGTTTATTCCATATATCCACATAGTCCAATTGTACAGTACAGTATTTTTTTCTACTCTACACTATTTAATTTGACATGGTCTTTTATCTTATTCTAATTTATATGAATACATTTGAACTATTCCTGTCGGTTTACTCACAGTTTAATTGTATTTATTTGTATTTCTTTCTTTATTTTCATTGGAGGTTGCCTTAAGATCTCATTGCCAACAAAGTTGTAGTTGTGGTGTGTATGATAATTTGAATAGCATAGAATTAGCAATAGAAAAGCATTTGAATATTTGAAACCAGTCTCATTTTAAATAATTTCCAAATGTCCTCATTTCCTAAATGTAAAGGCAAGACAAGGCAAGTGTATACATACATACATACATACATACATACATACATACATACATACATACATACATACATACATACATACATACATACATACATAGCACCTTACATANGAAGGGCACCAGCCTGAAGACGTCGGCACATGTTCTGAGGAACTGGGGAGAAAACATTGGAAAAACTCAAATTAGAAGGAATTATTTTCATATTTACACTGCAGTATGGCTTGTATTCATGTATTCTATATAACTGTTGGGTTTATTTTATTATCTTTGCTTTTTAATGCCTGTTTTTAAGTGCCATTGTATAATGTGTTTCTGCTGTATTTCTTTATTTTAGTTTGTAAAGCACTTTGAATTGCCGTGTGCTGAAAGGTGCTATGTATGTATGTATGTATGTATGTATGTATGTATGTATGTATGTATGTATGTATGTATGTATGTATACACTTGCCTTGCCTTTACATTTAGGAAATGAGGACATTTNTATTATCTTTGCTTTTTAATGCCTGTTTTTAAATGCCATTATATAATGTGGTGCTTTACAAAATAAAATAAAATACATTTAAGAAGAAATACAGCAGAAACACATTATATAATGGCATTTAAAAACAGGCATTAAAAAGCAAAGATAATAAAATAAACCCAACAGGTATATAGAATACATGAATACAAGCCATACTGCAGTGTAAATATGAAAATAATTCCTTCTAATTTGAGTTTTTCCAATGTTTTCTCCCCAGTTCCTCAGAACATGTGCCGACGTCTTCAGGCTGGTGCCCTTCCTGGTGTTCATCATCGTCCCCTTCATGGAGTTCCTGCTTCCTGTAGCTCTGAAACTCTTCCCCAACATGCTGCCGTCCACCTTCGAGACAAAGTCAAAGAAGGTAATCACGCTTTTCATTTAGAATAAATCTGTATGTGTTTCAGATCTTCATTGTATTCCAATTATGGCTGAGACACAGTAACATCAAAGACCGCAACTAACAATACTTTTTATAATCAAACCATCAGCTATGGAGTGTCATGTCATTGTTTTGCGATGGATTTGTTTTAATATGGCAGTCCATTGACAACACGTTGACATTTGAATGATTAAAAACAATCCTCCTTCGTTTGAATCCTGAACCTTCACCCAGGATGCTGATGAGGTAATCTGGCTGTTTGTGTTTAATCATCCCAACAGAGGTTAATCCTAATTACAGTCTGATCCACAGCACAGGTTCCATCACCTACTTTTCTATATAGTTCACATTTGGCAATGCTTAGAATAAGGCAATGTACATTTCCTGTTTCCATGTTTTTACAAATTATAAATACTAATATATTTATCATATTTCTTTTGTTTCTCAACCAAAATGCACAACTATTGGAGAACTTCTTTTCCCCTGGTATTATTGTTGTATAAATGGTTGATAAATGAGCAATTTCTTCTGACAGATTTACCTCCCGTATAATTTAAAACAATACTTGCAAGACTATTACTGACAAGAGCTTAAAGATATTTCTTTCATTCTATGGCACTCTATCATATAACAATTTTGGCAACACCACGTTCAACAAAATGTCTTACATTATAGTTTTTTGAAGAATGGGGAGTTTGATTTGATAGCACACATTGCATTTGTTTTTCAGGAGGAGAGGTTAAAAACGGAGCTGAGGGTCAAACTGGAGATGGCCAAGTTCTTGCAGGACACCATCGAGGAGATCGCTCTGAGAAACAAAGCGGACCAGGGCAACGTGACGGAGGAGTTCTCCACATTCTTCCAGAAGGTTGGTGTCGGTGTTTACTGAGGCAGAACATTAGTCAAAGCAGACTCAGTACCGCCCTCTGGTGGTCAGAATCAGAATACCTTTATTAGTCCCACAGAGGGGGAATGTACGTTGTTACAGCAGAAAAAGAGCCAACGACGGCTTAATGTTACATAATGTTACATGCATAAAAAAGTATTAAAGTAAAAAAAAAGTTATAATATCGTAAAAAATAGAATAAAATAAAAAGTTACCCAATTTACAAAATACACATGGATTTACATGGAAACAATAGGCGCGTTCACACCAAGTACTTTTCCCAAAAAGGTTCCTGAGAACTACGATTTAGTTGCGTTCACACCAAAAAGTCCCAGGAATTAAATTAGTTCTAGAGAACCTTTTTTACCCCCTTTTCAGTCGGACTTTCGTGGGAGAAAAAGGTTCCTGTGTCTGATTGGCTGGGCGGAATGCAAACCACGCCCCGTCAAACTCCCAAAAACGTTTGTGAAGCCGCCATTTTATTATCCTCGCATTAGCATTATTAGCATTATCATTCGCCCAGCGCAGAAACGCAGAGAGACTAACTTATGGCAACACAAAATAAAACATGGGAGCGGTGGAGATGAGGAGTTGTCGGCGTTCTGGAGATTTACTCGGACTCCCAGCAGCTTCTACTGAAGCCAGTCCCCAACTCCGGGGACTTCCGGCCGGGGGATTTTGGGCGGCAGTATACGCCGTGAAGTTGTTTGCGGCCTGCCAGTAAACCCAAAGCAGAAGAAGAAGAAGTGACGTCAGCGGCTTCATTTGCCTAATCCACCCCCAGGAACTAATTTCCGGTGNTGTGTGTGTGTGTGTGTGTTGTGTGTGTGGGTGTTGGTGGGTGTTGTGTGTGGTGTGTGTGTGGTGTGGTGTGTGTGGTGGGTGTGTGTGTGTGTGTGTGTGTGTGTGTGTGGTGTGGCACAACTTTACATTAACATAGTGACATATGATAAGTAAACTAACTTAACCTACTCTCTCTCTAACATATGGTCAAAGACAATACCTCAGACACATAGACACACACTCAGCGACTCTAACCTCTCTCACAACCACAACAGACAAACACAAACTAAAACTCATCGGACTGGCGAACAACTAATTCACCACTCTCTCTATAACACACAACTACACAGCACACCACGACACACCAAGACACACGCACGACACAGCACGCAAGCACCACGCCACGCACACACACACCGCACACACATCCGTCAGGTTGTGGCATGTGTATACATATTGGGCAGCAAGGTGTGCCTTGTTTCCTTCTCCTAGGAGTACTCTCAGTCTTGAGAGGTCATCAACCTCCTTGAAACCTGGGATTACAGAGTTTAACTTGTTCCAGTAAATGGCTCCTTACTTGGTTGAATGTTTGGCACTTCAGGAGGAAGTGCATCTCTGTCTCAGTCTCACCTGTTGTACAGTGACCACATGTTCTGTTCTCTTTTGGTTGCCAGGATCTTCAGGATTCTTTCACTCTGTCTGTATTAATCATTGACATATTATCAGCTTAACCTTTAAGGTTGTGCAGATTCATTTGGAATCATGTTTCTGGCAACCTGTTGATATTTACTCTTCTTTTAGTGTTGGTGTTCAGTAACAACATTGGATATCTCTTAATATTTATTTTTGATTAAAGGAGAATGTAAAGAGGTGTTAAATCCACCCATACACTTTGCTTTTGCTATTCTTTTAGTTTTTACTTAAATATCAATGAAAATACCTTTTTAAATAATAGCTTTATGGCCTTGTTGATTATTTTCTTTATCTCTGGCAGCGCTTATGAGATCATATCTATCTCATGCATCAACTCAGTCTGTCATACACGTGCTTTCAACACTTTCTCTATTGATTTACAGTTGACAGAGGTGACGTGATGCAAGATATGTAGACATTTTCTAAAACTGGTAAAAAGAGGACAGCTATCTGCTCAATTTGAATTGAAAAACAAGGCATGTTCTAAAATGTCCCAAAAAAGCAATGGAATTGGAAAATGTTTTCTTCTGGAGGGAATGCATTCAGCAGGTTGGCTAGGCCTTAAGGGCACAACATATATTGGAAGGAACAGTGAATATAAATATAACTTTATTTATGTACAAGAAACCTCCTCAGGGTGACTTTAAGTACTACTGTTTCTATTTAAAGCAAACTGTTATTTTCACTGTTGCTCGAGAAGTGCTCCATCTGAATTATGGCAATCCCTGCACTGTGTTCTGCTGTCTTACGTATTTAGAAGAAAGGAACTTGAATTGAATTGGGGAAAAAGCACTCTAATATATGAAGTGACCTACATAATGTCATTTTTACTACAAAAGCATTTTACAACCTTGCTTTGTCATCCAAAATACCCCAGTGGGATATTTAAAAAATCCTGTCATGCTAGTGCCATGTAAGTAGACACAGCCATAACAAAGAAAGAATGACGCTGTTAAATTGTCTGGTGTTACGCAGGTTGAACGACGAGGCCTTTTGAGGTCACAGTGTTGGGAAAACACATTGCATATTCACTACAGCATGAAAGGACGGTGACCTGTGTGATTGTTTCCCTCTCGTCTTATCTCTCGCTCTGTCTCAGCTATGTCTCCATTGTGTCGTGTGATTGAGAGCATTTCAATGACAGGAATCTTGTTTTGTTGAATAGCGCAGCCTGGTCGGACACAGATGCCAGGACATTCCTGGAGCTGGTAGTCTTTCCTTTTGGCAACCTCTTTCTCCTCTACTCTACTTTCCATGAATTTCCTTCATTTCCACTCCTCTACCCTCCTTTGCAAGCTTTACTTCTCCTAAAAGTGACAGTCACAGAGGAAGAAAGGGAGGAATAGAGCATGTGTCAGTGTTTTTTTTGTTTGCCTGCATGCTCAGTGTCCATGTATTGTTCAAAGAAAGACTACCTGCTTTTCAAATCCGCAAGTAATGCACTATTCATTGTGTACACCAGCCTTGTTATCCCTTCTGAATAAGCCACACCACTTCACAACACCTCGTTACCATTCATTACATGTCACCCTACTCCCTGACACTATGTCATCCAGTATCTCATTTCTCTCTTGCATGTCTCCATTTATCAGTAATTATTCGATGGTGGAATATTGCACGTATCACAGTCTGCAGCGATAGCAGCCCAAAGCTCTTCTCCAGGCTTTGTAACTCTCCAACAGATGGCAGTGTGAATCGCTCTATCGGCACGGACCCGCTTGGGATGACTGTGTGTGGATTAATGACATTCATAGAGTCAAGCAGACGCTTCATTTGCTCTTTAAACAGACAGGGTGAGAAGTTATTGACCTCTTGAACACTACATTTGTATTTAAGACAATCATTTTATTAATTTCTTAGGCTGTATGACTACCTTGATTATATATGTTGTACCTACATGCTGAAACACATTAAAGTAGTACAGCTAAATGTTCTTTTATGTACTGTGGGCCATGGGTATCAAACCCTTTAAGCTCCTGCTATAATCCATGATATTTAAAAATATTTATTTTTATTGGCATATTATACCAAGACTTATTTTAAAAACAAAGTATGCGATTACTTTTTATGACATTTTATAGCATGTAATAATAGGTTAGCTAATAGGTTTTTAAGACCTACAATATTTTTTAGGAAAAAAAACACTTTGACTTTGTGTCGCTTTTTTATTGGCATATCTAATTTTTCTGACATACTATACTATGTGTTTTTTTGACAATGATATACTATTTTACAAAATGTTATAAATTCAAACTCAAGGCATTAAGCCACTTTATTGCACATGTCCTTCTCATCCTTAGTGGAAATACAAATAACATTGCGTGTGCTTAAACAACGCTTGGCTACACAACATTTGTGTGAGCTTCCAGTAAGGCCTTTAGAAAGCAAACCTGCCAACATAACGTTCGTCTGACGTTTGCTGTTTCTGTTCTTGTTTTCATATTTGACGCTTTTATTGCCCTTTGTGCTGCAGCTTTAGTGTAAAGTTCCCTGTAGGGATAATAAAATAACTGTTATCTGTCTCTTTCTAATCTTATCTTATCCTGAATTTGGTTTGAGTCCAGATAACTTATGTCATCAAATTGTAAAAGCCATGTTTTATGCTAGGCTCCACAATCTCACTCCACCAGCTGTTAACATGTAGTATACTCTGCAGGACAGACTGTCTGTTAGACTGGAGACAGTTTGGCTCATGTTGGCGTTTACCCAGTGGTGTCACTCAGGTATTTACTTACTTCAGCTCTTTATTAGTTTTCCATTATTACACTCTCCCCTACAGCCCTCTGGCCACAGTTAATGGCCTCGCGGGGACATGGTCACTCATTCTGCTCCTTGTTTATTTGTTATTTGCTAGGTGAGAGGCAAATCCCACAAGTCTGGTACACACTGTATGCATTTGTCAACTTGTAATTGTTGTAGTGTACCAGATAACAGACAAACAGTCTCTGGGGG